AACGAAACCATTTTACACATAATAGGGGAGAACAATACATAAATTGGGGGAATAACACAAGAAACTTAACAACACACTACCACAGTCTGCCTTTAGCACGATGTCCCTGTTATGAATAAGAAGCTTGACTAGGCCAATATTCAAGCAGCAATCAATTTATTAATTAATATGGTAAAATATGAGCAATACGTGCTGGGTACGGTGAGGGAAGTTTTCCCTCCACAACTGCACACTGATAGTTGAGGCTTACAGGTAATTATAGGGATACGCATAAGCTTTCTCAGCAGCTTCTATTCCAATTGTTTTTACATCACAATTCTATACACTATTGTGATTTAATTTTTCTCAGGATATGTCCCAAAAGGAGTATCCCCAGATGGTGGTGGTCCGGTGTCTGGTTTATCTCGGCTGTTTGAGGGGCCTGGAAAGGCCCGGGGTGGCCTTGGGGCAGCCCGCGTATCGAAGGACGAGAAGAGGCTTCAGTTCTTCTTTCTGGTTTTATGTTTATTAATTGTTTATCTAAAAGATGTTCTTTCTGCCGAACAGAGATCTGCTCAGCAGTCAGCCATGGGCACACTGTCTCTGCCCTCCCGGGCAGCCACGTATCTTTATACTTTTTGTTACGTATACAATATTTATCATTTTTCTCCAATACCATCTATTCTTATAACTTGGTGTACTCTTAGTAATAACCAATCCAAAAATGCCACCGTGGCCAAAGAAGATGGAGGAGAAGAGGAAGAAGAAGGAGGGCAGGACACACCCCAATTCCTCCATCTTACTCCTCTAAACCCCCCTGTACATAAATCCTAAACCCTGTTTCTCACTCTCTAATTAGCTAATCTTTTCACCATTCTCCCTGTGAAGCCCTCATCCTTGTCGTCTCCTGTGTAGGGTTAAAGTCCAGCTACCAGACACTTCTGGCAACATTCCAGGACTCCCGAGCCCCCCAAGGTGGTCTCGGAGGCTCAGCATCTCAGGACTGAGATATTGAGATCCGACAGTCCGGTTTCCAAAAGAAGAAAGACGAATCCCATCTGGTGAAGTTCAGCTCCCCAAATATGGGTCCAGCTTTTAATTGCAAAGACTATAAATCTCATAACAGTGATGTCCAGTCTCCCTTGGTCAAACTATAAATCCTTGAGTTGATGTTCATCTTCCTTTCTCAAGCTGTTTTTCTCTGCTTTATTAAGGTGTGAGATAAGCATATTTCCTTTATATATATTCCTAAGCTATAGTTTCAAGGATACAAGCAATATTCTAAAATTATACTTCAAAAGGTTATCATTGCAGAACTTTTAAAGGATTAACTACAAGCAAAAAGCAACATCCTTAACACTTTAATTCCAATGCTTCTACATCAACTAATGTTAATTGCAAACAAAAGATTGGTTTAAAGGCCTTCTTCCATGCCTTACTTTCCTGTCATTATTAGAATTCACAACTGTCCCATTGCCGGTCTCCACAAATACACACATTGCTTGTATGTACCTAACACGAAACACAGCTTTGTATTTCACATGGCTCAGAGCCGGCGGGGTTTGGGGTGTGTGGGGAACAGAAGCCCTGACGGCCGGCGGGGTTTGGGGTGTGCGTGGGGGGACAGGAGCCGTGAGAGCCGGCGGGTTTTGGGGTGTGTGTGGGGCACAGGAGCCCTGAGGGTCGGCGGGGTTTGGGGTGTGTGGGGCAGAGGAACCCTGAAGGCCGGCGGGGCCGGGGCAGGGCCCGGGCGGGGCCGGCCGCGTCCTCCTGGCAACGGCGCCTTAAAAGCGGGCGGGGGCTGAGGCGGCGGCTGCCGCTGCCATGGCTCACGGCAGCCCCGTGGTGAGTGCCTAGGCCGGGCTCGGTTAGGCTCGGCTCAGTTAGGCTAGGCTAGGCTTGCCTTGGCTTGGCTCGGCTCGGCTCAGTTAGGCTAGGCTAGGCTAGGTTAGGTTCGGCTCAGTTAGGCTAGGCTAGGCTAGGCTAGGCTAAGGTAGCGGGATCTGGCCGCTCCTCCTTGCGGGAGACGGAATGAGCATGAGCCAGTCGCTTCCCGGCCCCAGCCTGGGTGGGAGCCGCCGCCCGTTTGCTGGCGCGGGAAGCCCAAGGGCGACGTCGAAAGCTTTTTCCTTTCTTTTTAAACTTTTAAAACCTTTTTCTGTTGAAAATGTCCGTTTGTGGGCAAAAGCGTTGTGGCAGGTGTTGGCCCTGGCTAGCTGCGGGATGCGAGGGACACCTGCTGCTGTGGCAGCCCGGCGGTGCCAGGGAGGGCGGCGGAGGCCTCTGTGCCATGGTCTGGCCGCTGCTGCTTCTCCCTTCCTGGGGCTGCCTCTCCCTCCAAGGACGGGAATCCCAGGAGAGGGAGCCTTGGAGGCTTTGCTGGAATGGGATTTGGATGAGCCCCTCCTGCCACCCCACTGCACACGAGTAGAACCGGAGATGGACAGTTCCCGCTATGGATGGCATGGTTCTGGCGAAGGAATGTAAAGGGATTCAGCTGGAGTACAATAGCGGCTGTGCTGTAACCATTTTTCTCTAATTTGCAAGCATGTGGTGGTTGAATTTTACAGTTGCTGTGTGCCGTTTTTATATAGCACAATAAATATTTGTACTCACTGTAGTTTGGCAATCCTGGGGAGAGGAATAGGCCCGTTGAAACATTTACATTTAGATTCTCTTCTGGATTAGCAGTGAAGGCAGAGCATTTGACATATGGGCTGATCAGCAGCTTTTAGTGTAGAGATACAAGAGGAAATTTTTTTTCCCTTCTTCATCTTTCTAGTATCCTGAAAATGTCCTGGGGGACTCCTTGGAGGTTGATAACCCCTGATAAGAAATTGCACATGAGTAAGGTTGTTTTAAAGTAGTTGTGTTAGTTGCATTTTCCAGAAAGTGTAACATGTTACTTCTTAATCTCTTCTTTTCATTGAAAAGAAATTGATTGTCATCTGCACTTTAAAACAACTTTGGATAAGTAAAATATTAATTTGATATTTAAAAAAAATATATTGTTAATCCAGAATCCTGTAAGGTTTCCTAAAATATCTCCGCTTCATTTTTCACCTTGTGTAGGCTATTCTGGTGGTAATGAGAGTCAAGATTAATAAGCTTTAAATTGATAAAGGCTCATTATCTTACATTTGCATTGGAGTGCAGGAATCTTGAAGCTCATGTGTATGTGCTGTCCAGGTCTTACTGGAGAATTAGGATTTAATCACTGACATCATGGGCAGAAGAAGGAATAAAATGTTCTGTTGGAGTCCTATTGTAATGTAAGATGAATGATCTGTATTGATAAAAGTAGTGTTCAAATTTCCAGTTAGGTTACTGTGCAACATCAGACTGTTTCCACAAAAAAAAAAAAAAAAAAATCTCAGTTACTTTTTGTGAGTTCCTTGCATCCTGCTTCTGATGGAACTGGCAGGGTTAATTTTTAGTAGTTTGTATTATTGCTTGGCCCTTAGATTAGGAGCAATGATTGCAGTATGATACAAAGGGGTTAGACAAACTTGTTTGAAAATACAGCACAGCAATGGCTTTTGAATGTTTCTAGGATTTTCTTAAGCATTTACCAAATTACTGGTAGCCTAAACAATAATTTGAAGCTCAAATCCAGTACTTTTTTTAGAGTGTTAGATTTAAAAGAATGAGTGGACTTGCTGACCTTTGCATTTGTCATTCAGTTTCTGAAACTGATCTGTTCATGCTGTTCAGTTTGTAACAACAATTTGTGAAGTGAGGTTAGACTTTGTGTTATCTTTTCAGATGATTTAATGCTCATCTTAAGTTGCAAACATTTATTTTTCCCTAATGTAGCCTGAGCTGTACAAGTCCATCATCGAAGATGTGATTGAAGGTGTGCGGGAGCTCTTTGCAGAGGAGGGTGTAGAGGAGCAGGTTCTGAAAGACTTGAAGCAGGTTTGTTGGGTCCCCTTGCATTAATAGCAGTTGTGTTTGTGTTGTCTTTTTCTGTCCATTTCTTTGCTCTCCAAAACATGCAAACTTTTGCCCTGGCTTAAGAGTTACAAGCATCCTGCAAGTGGTGTAGGGGCTGCTGGGAGTTGAAATTGGTTAGTTTTTGCTGCCCTATTTGTTGGATACAATCAGTCAATTTACTCTTGGAAAAGCTGGGAATACCTGATTATCTTTTTTTGATGCAGTTTGTTTTTAAAGCTGATGTTTGTTGACCTTAATAATCTTGCTGCAGCTTTGGGAAACGAAGGTGACGCAGTCTAGAGCAACAGAAGGCTTCTTCAAACACAGCCACTGCTCTCCACGGTTCAGCCTGCAGCTGCCACACAGCTCTCACAGCCTTTTGCAGACTTCAGCAGGTCAGGTGTTCTTGGACACAGTGCATGCAATTTAAGAATATCTAATTGATTTTTGGAAGACTTGAAATAATCTTGGTTTGTGTATATATCTTATGCATATATGCAGCTTGATGTGGAACAGTAATTCTTTGAAAGCAGGATTTGACCAGTAAATGATGAATTGAGCTTTAATAAATGAGTAGGATTCTCTCTACATGCTTTTGATCAGCTGCTCATTTCCAGTGGCAAAACACGCAGAGAGTTTTAGCCTCCTTGTCTGCAGTCCTCCAAGTCTGAAGTGCTTGTAGCACTTCAGTTGCAAATTTACCTGCAGGGTTAAGCTCCTGCTTCCCCTTTTAATGTGTGTCCTGATGTGCAGAGGTTTTATGGCTCGTTTGTGCCATGCAGTTCTGCTGTCAGGTTGGGACTTAATCTGCTCTCAATTTGTTAAAATGTAATCCCTTGCTCAAACAGTTGAGAGGGAGCTTTTTAGTTAGTCTTTCAGTTAGTTTTTCTAAAAGCAGCATTCCTGTTGCAGAGGAGTACTTGACTTTCACACAGTCTCTGACATCAGGACCTATTCTTGTTAATAGAGTCCAGCTGAGCACTGTGGTATTGTTGTGGTAGAGTGTGGAACTCAGCTGAGACTTATCCCAAAGTGAGAGGCTGTTAGGACCTTTGCCCATGAAGGACAAACCCCAAATGAGATGATTTAATGAAAATCCATGTTGTAGTGTATTTCAAGCTTGGGCAGGCATTCTTTATCAGTGGGGTTCTTCGCTTTTTTCTTCTTAATTTCTTGTTTTTGTTTGTTTTTTTTGGTTTTTTTTACAGTCTTCCTAGTTGAATGAACCATTTTTGGAGGCAGGTGTTTTATTAGTTCCACGTGACTATAGGGAATATACTTTTGTGTTTGCAGGCTACTGGAGGTTTTATATTTAATGAGCCTTTCCTTCTTACACTTAAGTTTTTAAAGGGCAATACTATGGCCAAGCAGTGTGAGTAAATCTATTTTTTTCTAAAAAGGGGATTTGAATTGCCCCATGGCTAGAGATTTTCAAAGTAGTTAGGGCTACCTAAATTGCTTGCTTCTAAAAGCCCAGGAAAATTTTCCCTTTGCCCTTTTTTCTCCCATGGAATTCAGTATTTGGTGCTGTTGAAAATCTTACCCTACTGTTCCTACTTTTAGCATCATTGGATTTGCTCTGCTGTGAAAAAACTACTTGCATGTTTTCTTCAAGTTGACAAGGCAATACTTGTGCTCACTAATGAGGATGAACTGAAGTTAGATTGCTTTAGTTTCACCCATGTTTGCTGTAAATTATTGAATGATAACTGTATCCAAGAAATTAATGTTTTTTGTAAAGTGACTTTTTAATTTTTTTTACAGCTTCTTATGTCATCCAAGCTGGCAGAGGTTTTCAGCATTTCACAGCAGCAAAACTGGTATGTGGCTGTAGGGATATTTTACTTCAATTTTGATTATGTTGGACTCCTAACTTTTTAAAATTGTTTTCCAGTTATTAATAGGCTTCAGGAGGGAGAGTTGTAACACTGCTGCTTCTGTTGGAGCAGTGAAAAAGGATGGGCTGTAGCAGCTGGTTCTGCAAAAAGTGAAGCCAGAAATGTTGGAAAGACACAGCTGCCTGTATTTAGCCCATAGAATGAAAGTGTAGTGGAAATGGCACAGCTACATAGACTTGTAAAAGAAAAAATTTATTACTGGTTGTTAAAATAGTGCATGGCTGGGAAATACTACCACTAGGGAAGCTGGGAGCAGCCTTATCTGTGAGGTGTGGAAATCATCCAGAAGGAAAATGAGTGTTTTTATAGTTGACAAGTTTGGAACTCTGGGCATAGCAAAATTTCTTTGGGGAGCAGCCACTGATTGCCAGAGCTTGATGAACTTAGTGAGTGCCTCCTGAGCCTCAAGCTAAGTAGCTTGTCAAGTTGAAATATAATATTGGGATGATGTTTGTGCAGTATGTGCATTTCCTGATTGAAAAGTTGGATTTCCTCAGAAGAGCTAGATTGAAAGGGAGGTGTATATCCAACTCTTTGCTCCCCAGGAGGAAAAGAGAGTATGAAGTGACTTCATAGGCCTAGGCAAGAAACCTGTGCTGTGTGGAGTAATGCATAAACTCTGTCATTGCCGAATACTCTTCATGGGTGCTTGAGGGGATTATGGAAAAAGTTGCTGTAACAAAATGGGAGTGTGATAGCTGGAAAGCAGGAAACACCTGGGGCAAGCTGTTGCTCTGGCAGTGCAGAATACTCTTCATCTGTCTAAATCTCAGCTTTCCAGTGAAGATGCCCTCACTGCTGTTTCCCATGGATACTCCAGGAGTGGCACTCAGTGCCCTGTCCTGCCTAAGCCCAGATCTTGTGTTGCAGGGCCCCCCACGAGTGGGTGTGACTCTTGCTCTCCCTTCGTGTGTTGCTTACCCTTTGCAGATGCCAGCTGGGGTGATGCTGCAGCCAGCACCAGGTAAGGGTAACAGGGGCATGTCAAACCTGGCAGGGCCCTGGGGGTGTTGAAGGACAGTCCCAGGGACAGTAGATGGAACAGATGAGAAGTTAAAGTGTAAGGTAGAGGCAGTTACCCTCCTCTTTGTACTTTTTGTAGGGGCTGTGTGGGGAAGTAACTGCAATGATTAGTTGGTGTGTCAGTTTTACAACTCTTAACAAGTGCTTTCCTTTGTTAGCCCAGATACAGGGATCTCCTTCTCCCTGTCTCTCTGGGACAATCTTCTGTGCTTTCAAAAAGCTAAAAGCACTGTGGTGTTTCAGAGACAAAATTGATTTCTTATTCAAATAAAATTCAATTATCCATTAACCTTTTTGATCCTGTTCTTTTGGTGATAACACTGCTTGTACAAAAACTGCTTGAACTGTTTTGGAAAGCTTAGTTCAGTCATTGACTCTTCTCTCAAACAGCCATTCTTTGATGAAAACTGACATCTCTAGTTATCTGTTTCAGGCATAATTCCTGATGTCATGAGACCTGTAGACTGGTACCAGTAACTCTGTCTGTGTGAACATGTGTGTATGGGGAAAAGTCAAATTAAATTTGGAACTTGTCTTCTAAACTTGGCGTCTCAATTCTGACCCTGATAGTAATAACTTTAGGCATTCAGTGTTTGGAGTGGTTTTCTTAAGAAAAGATACATAAATTAGGGGTTGGTTGGTGTTTTTAAAAACTAAAATTAGTTTTAGGTATTAGATATTCTCTCTAAAAAAATTTAAGGTGTTTAGAGAGAATACCTAAATGTCCTTAAAGGCATGAACTTGCCCTGTAGCTATGGACTAGTTTACTGTTTCATCTTATATTCCTTAGTTTCTGAAATGACATGGAAAAGTTAAAACCCAGGGTATTTATTTATTTATTGATTTATTTAAAATCCAGTATGTAGTTAAATTATTGAACTTACTGACACAGGTACTGCGTAGGCCAGACCCAAAAAGAGGTGTTAAACATGATGGACTGGCTGGAAGCCATGATTCAGAAAGCTGCTGAATGCCAGGGCTGGAATTGTGCTTGAGGAAAGTTTTGCTTTGCAAATGTCCTTTTTCTCATAGTTTGTCCTGGTGTTTGCTCTTGTTTTTAGTGGGGGCATGTCAGTGGCCTGGATGAGCCTGTGGTTTCACCTGCTGAAGCAGTTTTGGACTCTTCTCTCTGCAGGGCAGCTTTACAAGGTGAATGTGCCTGTTGTGGTCACACAGGCCTCGGGAGATGGAAGCCTTCTCCACTACCCTGTGCAGCAGATGTTTCATCCCCTTGGGCAAGCTTCAGTTCTGCAGGCCAGCCTGGCCAGTGTCACACAGCTGAGTGCATCTGCTGCCCATGCAGCTGGTGAAACACTGCAGCCCCAGGAGGCTGCTCTCCAACAGGCTGTGCTGTTTAAACCCAGCTATGTGGAAAAACAACACCTGGAGAACTCTGCTCCCTTGGTCCAGCAGCCTTCTGTGAGTCTGCAGGAATATGAAATTAATGCAGTGTTGAATCAGTGCAGTGAATCCACAGAAAAATTCCAGCATGACAACCTTCACACAGCTGTGTTTACTCCAGAATGCTCTGAAGGACTTTTTATTGATGAATCCTTGGCAAGCAGCTCGAGCAGCGTCCTGCTGGATGTGGAGGGGCAGCTGGACATGGAGCATCCGGAGCTGCTGCAGCAGCAGGTGTCTGATGATATCATTGACCTGATTATTGCAGGGGAAAGTTTGGATGGAAATGCATTTCTGAAGGATCAGGGCAGCATGGCTTCCTCTCACAAGGTAAGGCTTTTGTTTCTCTGCTAATGAAAATACTTCTGGTAGAGGGGGTTGCTTGAACACATTTCTAAGTGACATCTAGCTCCTCTAAATGAGAAGAACAAAAGTTATTTTGATTTTATGATTTAATCTTAAGCTTGTTTAGAATAGCAATAGCTGACTGCTTGTTTTTACATTAGGAATTTGTCAAAACTACTGCTAAAATACGGTGATTGATGAGAATATCAATTTAAAAATACATTCTATCTATGCATTACATTTTTCAGTATTAGACTTATTGATTACTTTTGGGGTTTTTTTTGTGACTAAGCAGACATGAAAGACTCCTTGAGAACCTCCATATCATTCTGGCATGATCTGCATATGGATACTGGTCAATTGTGAGCAAAGTGCTTTTGCAGGATCAGCTGGGATTAATTTTATCTTGTAATGTGTGAAGAGCATTAAAGATGTATTGAGAATGCATTCAGGATGAAAAGTCACATTTGATAAGTGAAAATCTCCTTGAAGAAAATGTATTTCCTTGGGGAAAAAGTCCTGGATAAACTAGAGCCCAGCTAGAGCTGTGTGGGAAACTTGAGTGATTTTAATTAACAAGCCTCTTTCCTGACCTCATCTAATTTTAGTGCCTGAAATGATTTGCAGATGTTTGAAATTCAGGCTGGCTTGGTGACTGTGAGTTGTAGTGCTCATATGTGATTGAGACAAATTTATTAAATGCAAATTTAATGACAGTAATGCCAAATGTCTGTAAATAGGAAGTGTAATGTTGCTTGTCTGAACTCTGATGGCAGCATGATGAAGGCTGTCTGTAGTGAGAATGGGAGGTCAAAACAAAGTGCTCCTTTCCTGAACTAGAGTGTGTATGTGGATGGGAATTAAGTGCTACAGTAAAGATTTAATGAGAAACTGAAGATGGCTGAAACCTTAAAGCCCTTTTATGCTCCTGTGAATGCTCTGTTTAGGAATTTTGTCACTTTTATGAACAGCAACTTGAAGTACTGAAATATTTACTGTCACTCCCAGCTTTTTATATCTTATTTAAACAAAGCATTTTGAATGAGTTCAGGGAGAGGGATCAGTTCCTCTTGACTTTTATTTCAAAAATGAAAAATGCTATTTTTGGGGGTGGAGGAGTAGGCTCCTTTTTTGGTTTTTTTGGGAGGGTTATTTTTTGCAATAGAAATTCTAAGTGTCCACTTGATTGCTGTTTTTTGAGTACAAGGGTGTCACAAACATCTTTTGTGAAAAATCCTTTCTTTAGGATTTTTCCCTCTTTTAAGAAGCTGAAGCCCCAGAAAGAGAATGCAAACAATGGTTATCTGCTGCTGTAGAATGTAACAAGTGCACCTGTGATTAACCCATGTTCCATGTTTACAATTGAGAGCCAATCAAAGATAAGCTCTCTCTGAGACAGAATCAAGGAGAGCTCCTTTATTAATTCATTCTTTTTTCTATTCTTAGCTTAGCAGCTTCTAAACTTCTCTCTCTATTCCTTTTAGTATAGTCTTAATGTAACTTATAAAATAATTAATCCAACCTTCTAATCATAAAGTCAAGATTCTCATCTCTCCACCCCTGAAAAACCCTTGCAAACCCTGTAACACAAGGGTGTTTAGAGAAAAGGGTAAGAAATTTTTTTCTGCGTTGCTGAGGAATATTTCACCTGGGTTCCATTTAAGTTAGATGCAACGTGATGTTTACAAATGTACTCAGGTTTTACAAGCAGTAGGACCTGAAACTCCCATATTAGTGCCATTATTATGGCTTGTTGATACAAAGCTCTCAGGCTTTGTGCTGAACACGGGGGTGTTGATTCACAAGCTGTCCTTGTTCTCTTTCCCTGCTGTCCCACGGAACCCGCGGAGCAGGCGGAGTCCGATTTACCGCTGGGGAAAGATCTCTGCAGTGACATTGAAGGCATAAGTCAGCTCGATGGCACCGGGGACGTTTCTTCCAAGGAACAAATGCCACATCCCAAAGATAAAGAAGAGAACGAGTTCATTGGCTTTATTGATTCAGAGGATCTGAGAGTTCTGGATGATGAGGAAGACTATGATGAAGAATGTGACAGCTCTTCAAACATAGAGTCCAGCGGCAGTGATGGGGACAATGAAGACCTCCAGATAGACATAGTTGAGGAGGTAATTTACTTTTAAGCCTTTAGAAGCACATAACAATATTAGATCTCTCAACTGTTGAATTGTTGGACCTAGAACAGTTCCTGGTTAGTTTGATGCAGGGCATGCACAGTGAAGTTACAAACCTCTGGAGATTGGAGGTACTGCAGAGAAATTACTTGAAAGCTCATTACGAGAAGTATGGGAAAATGAAAGAATTATTGGAAAGTCATTTGTTTATTGGATGAATTAAAATGCTTAGCTATCAGAATTAAAGTTGTATTGTAGACCCCTGGCCTCAGTGGAATGGGGCTTTTGACTTAAGTAAGATATTATTTAAAGGATTAGATTTAAATAAGATCAGAATACAAATCTAAGTTTCCTTTCTTTCTGAAGGACCACAGGGAATTAGAGAACAATGTGATACAAGAACTTTGTTCTCTTTTAATCCCCTGTGTTTCTTTTAATGCCCTGTTAAAGCCCTAGGTTTTCCTTTTTCTTTAAAGATATGCAATTTTGTGTCCTATGGGTTTGTTCACAAGAGCATCAATTTGTAGCATTTGGACTTTACATAAATATAACTTGATCAGTATTTCAGTTACTGGAATCTGCTTTATCACTTAGCAGTTTTGCTTTTTTGACCAGTGTTTTTGTTTAGGGTGTTTTGGGTTTTGAGAATGCAAATGTGTAAAATGAGGTTTGGTGCTTGTAAATGAGGTTGGTGCAATGTGGACTTCACAGCCTCCAGGTCTTGATTTTTGCAATGGTAACTTTATTGTTCTGAGAATGTTTAATTCCAAGTATGTTCAATGCTATTCTGAAAGAGTATAAACCAGAATTTTAATCTCTAGGACCCCTTGAACTCTGGTGATGATGTCAGTGAGCAGGACATTGCAGACTTGTTTGGCACCGACAATGTGATCGTTTGTCAGTATGAAAAGGTACAGTAATACACTTTTATCTTTGTTCTTTAATCATCCTAAATAATACCTGCACAAATCCATCTCTGCTCTCCTGTCAGTGCCTTTTGAAGGAACTCTAATGCTGTAATGGAGTGTTTAAATGATGTGTTTAGCTGACAATAGTCTGAAGGCTTTCCTAATGTTTTCTGAAAAGAGGATAATCGTAATGGGCTATTAAAGGAAAAGGGAACAACAAGTCTGGCAAAATGATGATTTGTAAAGATGCAAAAGCTTGTTTATTTCCTTAACTTTTAAGTAAGATCAACATCTCCGTGGATGTATGTAGGCATATTCAGCTGTGAATTAAGGCTTTTATAAAGGATAACAGAAAGAGAGGTGTATGTACTTTCTTTTCTTTTTTTTTCATACTTGTCTTTGTAGTGCTCACTGAGAGATTTTCCTACCAGAATTTTGTTGTGTCTGAGAAACAAAGTAGCTGTTAAGTGCCTTATTGTCCACCTTCGTTTTAATGTTTAAAATTCAACCTTACTTTGAGCTCCTGAAGATCAAATCAAATCCTTTTCGCTATTGTATGGTTTTGGATGCTTACATGTCAGTAATTTAAAAGAGAAAAAAAGGGCATGTTTTAAAGCAGATATGGAAAAATGTGTCGGTAGTTTGAGTGTGCCTTGACTTTTTTTAAAACATTATTTCAGAAGTACCTAGAGACAACTTTTTGTGTCTAACTACGCCTGTCTTAATGATTGTCTGTGGTTTAGGAAATGGAGAGGTGCTAAGAAAATTGTCTTCATAAAACTGTGACAGATTGACCTTTCCTGAGACCAGTTATTTTGGGAAGTTACAGGGATATGTGTAGAAAATGCCTCTGAAATGAAGCTGTTGGTGTCTGTATTGTAGTGAAAGGTACACCAAGTGTTGCAGCCTCAGAACTCAGACATTACAGTTGCCATAGGTAGTGCATACTGTTATCCAGAGCAAGTTTTGTCTGAAATAAGCTGAAAAAGTGCCTGAAAATCTAAAAGAAACTACTAGGAAGGTCAGCACTGGGCATGCCTTACAGGAAATTTAATATCAGATGTTATTAGAAATTGAGAGTTACAGAAGCTGGGAGATGATGTTGTAGCTTTCCCCTTTGCAATACATATTTAATGAAATATGTAGGCCCAGAAGAAAGTAGATAAAACCCACTGTGTCTTAAGTTTCCTTGTTACCTTTAAAACAAAGTTGTTGATAAAATTGCTGTCCTGTTTCTTTTCTTTCTGGAATTGAAAACTGATGCTGACAATTCAAGGAATTTTCTAGGGATATTTAAAATTCCCTCTTTTAGTATTAAACAAAACTTTATGGAGTTTGGATCTCTTTGCAGGCATTTAAAAAGAAACAGAATATGCATATTCTTTCTTACTTTTTTAAAAATTTAAATAGCAATATTTGCTTTTAAGACAAGTTTTGATGTTTTTTGCCTTTTCCTAACACCTCTGTGCCTGCAACATGACATTTCTATGTGGAAAAGAAAACATTGCATTTTAGTTAAGCTACACTAGTTTGCAAGGTGTGCTGTGTTTTGGGATTGCCCTTGTCTCTTGTCCTGCTGGTGTTGAGCTGTCCTAGGTAACACTTTTTAGGGGGAAGTTGTGGGATAGGAGAGTGGGACAGGATGGGATAAGATTCAGGAGGTTTCTCTCTTGGGGGTGCCTGGGAGTTCTTTATAAACAATTGGAGTATAATGCTTCCATTGAATATTCCATTGAATATTCCATTGAATCTTTTGGGTCATAAAGATTTTAAAATAAAAACCAGGTGTGTAAAACAGGATGTGCTTAAGTCTTGGGGTTTTTTTTAATGACTGGTCTAATTTATATTTGTGATTTCATTAATTTTGGTTATTTTTCATCAGATACATCGAACTAAGAACAAATGGAAGTTCTACTTAAAAGATGGAGTGATGTCCATTGAGGGTAAAGACCATGTTTTTGCAAAAGCCACTGGAGATGCAGAGTGGTGAAACTTCAGTATGTTCTTGAAGGCTGTGACATTATTTCCTTATAAGCCTTGTGTGAAACAACTGGACTTTCTATTGTTGTGCCATAAAAAAACAACAAATCAAAAGGAAAAAAAAAACCACCAAAAAACCCCCCAAAAAACCAAAACAAAAAAACCCAAAAAACCCCTCACCAAACCAAAACAAACAAACAAAACCCCCAAAAAAACCAAAACTGAAAAAACCAAACCCCAAACCAACAAATCTGTGATGAAAAAATATGCAAAATCCATGTTGTTAATTTGTGGTGTTAATCTGTTTAATTTGCAAACTAAACCACTGTACTGTTAGCTACTCAGCTGTCTTTGTTGTTCTTTTCTGATTATTTAATTTTTTCCAATGAGGAAGCATCATTGGAATGAATAGCTTTAAAGTTTGAAGTGTTATATCTGTTTGTAATTCAAGAAGGTAAAGAAATACTTAGTAATTTGTAAAGAACTACTTATTAATTATAATCAAATAAGTTGTAGTTCTGTTATTTTTTCCCCAGTTCTTAAAAGCTGAGGTATGAGTTGAAATATAAAATTACACTGTTGTGTTCTCTTTTCAAAGACTTTTGAGTTGAAAAAAAAGGCAATATCTATGTAAGTCTGTAACCTGTGGCTGTTTCAGCTGCATATTTCTCTTGATTTTTTTTAGTTGCTTTGTGTTTTTTGGACTTAGTTTAAAGACATGCACTCTAGATGCAATAAGGGAAAGATCCCGGAGCTCTCAATATATGAGAATTATTATTGTTTATTCTATACTAGCTATGTCTACTGAGATGCAATGAGGAGTGTGATGCAGCATTAAAATGTGATTTATTTTCACTGTCAATGCAAAGTCATTTAAGTTTGCTACTGTACATCTCCACTTTGTTCTAGGACTACAGACCAGTAAGCTGTGAATGATACAAATTGTGCATAATAATAAAAGTGTCATCTCATATGCTTTTCTAGCACAGAGTTGTTTTTGTGTTCCCTCAGTTTAAACTCTGCTTAGAGAAGTGGGTACAAGCCATGCATGTGGCAGTAGCCCACCCTACCATGAGACCTGCATTCCTCCCAACATCAACTTTTTGTTAGTTCTTCTAGAAATAAAGGTCCAAAAGAAGCTTTGGGCCCTTGTCTTTCAGAGCTGCAGCTTTTCCCTGGCTGGCTCCTGTTCCTTGTAGGGCAAGATGGGCAATTCCATGGTAAAGCTGCAGCCAGGCTGCCTCAGAACTGGATCATCTTGCTGGAAGGGGCAGTGCTACACTAAGGAACACCTCCCCCCTGTCTGCCACTCCCATGTCTACTGGAATGAGGCATTTTGCTTGTCTCTAATCCCTGAGAGGGTGCAGAGGCTGGGAGAAGGGAAGGAAACATCTGAGAGTGGGAGAGAATGAATGAATGAATGGAAGAAACAAAGGGAAAACCCCCAGCCCTTGTTGGAAATGGTGCAAACCCTTGTGCTAATGCCACAAGGCAGGAAGTAGCTCTTCAAAAATTGAGTCTATTGCATGCTTTTTTGGATCCGTCTGCTACTCTCCAGTGTCAAAGGCAGGACACTGAACTAGAGCACTTGAACCAAGTGTGACATTCCTTTTGTCTTTTATAGATGCTGCTGCTGGAATGTGAAGAATTGTGTGTCCAGAGGCAGTTAAAATATTGCAGTGTATGATTTCTTTTCCCCCATTCAGATGACTTGTAGCTGCACTGATGCTATGCTTCAGACCCATAAATGCACAAAAAATGCAGCTCTTACCACATGATAGATGCTCTTAGGTTTCAGCACTCTCTCACAGGCTCTGAGGTGCTCATGCTCTGTAAATGTGCACATTATGAACTGTGGGACCATTTCCAATGCCAGAAAAGACTGGGAGCAGAGTTAGTGTGGCACAGGAATCCATGGGACAAGACTGGATGTGCACCATTCACTAAGCACCACAAAGGCTCTCAATGGTGCTTCTGAATTTGACCTGTTTTTCTTGTTCACTATAAAATAAAGGGGCTAAAGAGTACTTAGTTTTTAGCTAGTTTTGCAGATAATATTAGTAAAGAATTACAGCTTTGAACAAGACTTTTACAGCTAGATAGACCTGAAGTTAGGAATTTTTATAGTGGAAAAAGAATGTTTCTTATTAAAATGTAAACTCTAGCCTGTGACTTGAACAGTAATCAGTGCTGTTGATCTGAATAGTTTATGAATTAATGTTTTTGATTGCTGCTACTTACAGTTTAGCAAACATATTGATGCAGATGTGACAGGATGAGGTGTGTAATACCAGTTATGGCCTTCAAAGATACTTCAGTAAATGGCTGTCTAAAACTTTACACCAGAAAGAAGGTAAAGTAAAAATAATGAGATAGAATAATGAGTAACTTATATGAGAAGATCTGTCATGAATCTAAATATCTTATTAAAGGTATACTTATTTGGTTATTTTTGTGCATAGACAAATTTTAAGTAAATAAATTACATTTGATGTTTTGTCAGTGGTTTATTTTTTTATACAGCAATTTTGTAAATGATGGATTTCACTGCACTTGCAGCAGGTACAAAAAAAATATAAAATTCAGAGACTCTCTTGCTGCTTATCTGTTACTTCTGCAGCTCTGTAGGGCAGGTGCTATGAGTTGTTAATTCTAACTCATCTCCCTTGCCTGTGGTTTCCTGACTGTGTTATGTAGTGGGGAGGGTGTGCTTGTCCTGCTGAAACATGATGCAAGTAAATCAGTTGTTGCCCACTTAAGATATTGTGCTGTCATGTCCTAAATTGTGTGCAGGACTCTTCCATGGGATGTCAGATGAGGAGTCTCAAAAATCAGTTTCGAGGTAGGTGACAGAGAAGTTTTAGGCCCAGTAGCTGTTTTTTTACACCAGTACCTTTGGTTGTATTATAGTTAGATGTCCTATCACAGTCCTTTTGGATCATTGGCTAAGATCAGGAGCTGGTGTATGTAAAGAGGTGCATCAAATGGAATTTGTATTGATTGCTAAACCACAGAGTTTTAAGCGTCTCCTCTCTTCTCAATCCTGCTTCATTCCCCACCTGTGGAATTGCTCACGAGCACAGCTGTGCTTGCATCAAGAGCTTTTGCAGTGATTGAAACCATGGCATTATGCTGAAGGTAAGAGTGGGTCAGAGATGTTATTGCTAATTATCACAATTATGAACTAATGATAGACCAGTCACTGGTACAAAGAATTGCTTTCATTAATGTGAAGCAAATGTAGCTGGTGGTGCAGTGTTTTGGCAACAAGAGGAGTGCTTTGGAACCCAGTTGCTGTCACAGACTTGAAAGCAAAGGACTCAGCTGAAAAGGAGAATGTAAAAGGTTTAAAGTGATTGCAGTAGTACTGTTCTCTTATGTATCAGACTCTGCACTTAAATTAGCAGTGCAGTCACAAATCTGGACCAAGCATTTAGCATGATCACTCAGCATCAGAGAATGCATAGTGAAAGAAAAGAGAGATTTTAATGGGAAAACATTGTCACAAAAAGGTAACTCTGCTTCATCACCTGGAATAGAGTGGGATTGTGTGTGCTGAAAAGGATCTGGTGCATTTCTGCATGCCACTGGTGATGTCAGAGAGTGGACAGGAGGAAATCATTCCTGAGACTGTCCCAGGAGGGAAAAGAAGGCAGCACTTTCTTGCCTGTGCAGGAAGCAGCTCTCCTGCTGCTGAGAGGGAGCCTTTACAGTTTACCTGATTTGTGTGTGCACATGTGATGCCCTAAATTGAGTCCTGTGCAGCAGAGGGGGTTTTGCATCTCTTGTGATTTCCAGATCACACATGGCTGTGCATGGGTTAATAATTTAAGTAAACTGCCCACCAGCTCAGCCTGAGATCTAATGTAAACTGCAAAATTGCCTGTGACAAAGGTTCAATAGATAAACTTTCCTCCTTGGTGACATCTTTACAGCCTATTGCTTGAATGCTCTTCTTTAACTGTGTGTAGGTGGCTGTGTAATTGGAAGTTTCTGTTGATGAAATGGAGGCTTCTAGTTTAGTGCCTCTTTCTTTAAACTAACAATGCCAGCACAGCTGATAGGAATGAAAAAAGAAGCCATGAAAGGCAGCAAACAGGCTTTAAATACTCCAGGGAAGCAGATCTGGAGAAAAAGAAGCCAGGCTGCGATCACTGCAGTACCTGTTAGCTTCAAGAACAACTTTACTCCTGGTTCCCCACACAGAAAAGTTTTGCCTAATAGCCACCTTCCACACCTGTCATCACAAAGGAAGAGAAGGGAAAACACCACTTTGAATGTCAGAACAGTTATGTTGCATAAGAATTACTGACTGGCATTTTTATTTATTATGAAATGTTCAAGACACTGTAAAACAATCCCTAGTTGCTAAGATAATCACAACTGGCCTTGCAAAGGGTAACTTGGCACTCTGGGTAAATTTTCCTTGTGAGATGTCTTGTCCCGTGGTGCAGGATAGGGCTTCTCTAAGGCTGACAAGAGCAGGAATGCTTGGGAGGCTTTGGTGGGAGCCGTGGCTGCGCCGCCATTCTTGCAGTTGGAGTTATAAGCAGAGAAATAGTTCATCCTGTAGAGCTCTGCTCGGCTCTTGCAGCAGCCAAGCTTGCTCATCAGCAGGAAGAAATCCCTCCGAAAGGCTTTGGTGAAAATGGCGTAGAGAAAGGGGTTAGCGCAGGAGTTGACGGGGTAAAATAAAACCAGCAGGATCTTGGAGTTGGTCACCGTGATGAGAGGAACCTTGAAGGCAGCGGATATGGCAAAAAAGGAGATGGGGGCCATGCAGGTGAAATCTGTGAAGATCAGTATTGCCATTCTCTTGGCGACCTTGGTGTCTTTATTGGCGGCCACCAGCTCTGGGTTCTGCACGGCGATGTAAATCTTGATGTAGCAAGCACAAATGACAACGAAGGCGACGACATTGAGCACCAAGATGAGCAGGATGTAGGCTTGGGACAGGCCCGTTTCGATATCCATGGGCAAACAGATGCTGACCTTCATATAGCTGCTGACCCCGAAGAGAGGCAGCAGGGCTATCCCGATGGAGAAGAGCCATCCCCCGAGCATGATGGGCACGGCGTGGCGCAGGCGCAGCTTGCGGTCCAGCTGCATGGCATAGGTGATGGTGTGCCAGCGCTCCAGCGTGATCACCGTCAGCGTGTAC